GGAATCAGAATTTTGTCCAAAGCACACCTCAATAAGGTTGTATACTATGCAATAGAAAAATACAATTTTGTTTTATTTCGGTTTTTGAGTTCTTAAATAAATCTGTAACTACTCACATCGATATTATCATTAATTAATCAAAGAGAAAATACTTGGTTGTTTATACAATTTTTTGATTGTTTATACAATCTTTTTGAAGAGTGAGACCAACTTACGTAAGGTACATTGTCATAAAGCACTTTAGGAAAGCTTTCTTCTACAATCATATTCTTCATATCGAATCTCGCGCCGTCCAAAAATAAACCCCAGATGTAAACACCATCCTCGGGAGCGGACTCGAAAACAGTTTCTTTCAGGATTATGAAATCAAACGCGAGAAGATCTATGGGAATTTGATACTTTCGCGCATAATTTTGTCGTATTCCAGTTAAAAACGCTTGGGTGAAGTAAAATCCTGGTAACCAGAACGTGATAGGTGGTCCTTCATCATACCACTTCTGTGTAACGATGACACAAATGTTATAAATCTAATAAAACACTGAATCTATAGTTTGCATGTAGACGCGCTTACTTGTAAAAACATTAAACGTTGTAGAAGATCACTGATGTAACTTCCCAGAGGTTTTAAGGACGGATAAGAATTTTGTTTCCACAAAGCGGGCATTCTGCTTGTTAAAATCGCCTCATAAATATCTTCAAGCTCGAAAGACATCACAATTACACCTATAAAGGTTTGCAATTTTTCAGATATTTTATCTGAATTTTTATTCTAAGATATTTTAAGAAAGTAGCTCGTCTACCTTTGATAGCTTTCCGTATATTATTGAGGCTACTTCTGATACAGACTAATAATTTGTTAAATCTGCTCATTTCTTGCACTATTACAGTGTTCATACTTTGACTGTACAACGTTGGATATTTCTCAAGTGCTGTGATGAGATCGTAATCATTCGGTAATTTCTCCAATATTTCTGTGGCGATGTTGTAAACCACATCGTCGTCGGAAGTTTGTCTTATGCCGGATTTGACGGCTTCCTATAAAAGATAGAAAGTACTGAAAAGATGTTCATGTAAATTGACATTGTCTTTTGTTTGCTAACGACTCAGATTATATTCTAGCTGATTTCAGCTAAAAAAACTCACCTTAATTTTCCAAAGATCCTAAAAGCGCGAGCGATAGAAAAAGACAATTAAACAAAAACATAGAATATATAATTGTATAAAAATTAACGGTTAGTACAATCACGCCTGAGTTAAGATTTCGTTGTTCCTTATAATATTACCATAATCACATACCGTTCGATCCTAAATAACGTGTTCGATGAAATTAAAAAAGAAAAGATTAATGAATGTGACAAGTTGGTATTTAATTATATTGATTATATTAATCATTATTTTGTTTCGTAGAAAATTTAGATAAAAAATCACCTGAGTAAGTAGAAGCGATGAGAATAGCAACTCTGTCTCTTGCTGATCCTTAAAAATATCGGCGTTTTCATGCATCCCGAATACACTTGGTGCGGTGATTATCGGAAGGTTCTTCGTGTACGAGAGATACGTTTCGTATTCTCTGACAATTGGGCAGTAATATATAGTGGATGTTTCGTCGAAGTAGTACAACTTATCCTCTAATAGTTCTCTAAAAACGATGATACATATGAGGAACTAGTGACTATTGATCGGCAGATAAAAAATTCACGATTTTTTAATTCCTGCTTAAAAACTAATAGCAGTTATATATAAAAAAAATATATATAACTGTATCGTTTTCTTGATTTATAAATATCAGATCTATTATTTGATATGTTAGAAAAATTTCCTCTATAAATTTATCGCAGTTTATTATTTCAATTAAAAAGCATATACGTTCAAATAAATATTTAATCGTTCAATTTTAGCTTAAATGTTTAATATTTATCCAAACATATATACTTTTTCATATAACTTGAATTATAAATTTACTTCTTTTTTATCATATCTTACGATTAATCGTTTCTAAATGATTAAATCTAAACGTATATGCTTTATAGTTCTAGCGATAGCTTATGATAAATTTATATAGGAAACTTTTTTAACATATCAGATTTGATATTTATGAACCAAAAATATGATTCAGTTATGTTGATTTTTTTATATATGTAACTCTATCAGATATTTTCAGCAAGAGTACTCACAGACAATAGAACTTTGCTAGAATAGTGTTCAACGTTCTGCGGTCCCACTCGTCCGTGACTCTTCCTCCGTAATTGCATTCGCCCGTAAGGTACCTCAAAGCCTCGAATTGCACGTCTTCATACTCGTCCAAAAACATCTTCAATTGCAGGACGCTGATCCTCAGGTCGGTCTCGTTGTATTCGTACGGGATATTCCATCCAATCGGGCCGAATTTGCGTCTCTCTTGCACGACAGCGTGGAAGAAGCACAACGAGTAAATTAGCTTCTTGAAATTGTCACCCTGAGCGCAGCCTTCGAAGAACTCCGGATTGCTGATCGGGTCACTCGTGTAGGATCTCAAAATATTGGCTCTGAGCCCTTTAGGTGGCTCGTTTGTCATCTTGATGCCGTTCTGGAGAACCGTTATCGGAAAGTGTTCCGCCGGATAACTGGTCAGCCAGAGTCGGAAGTCCGGATGGATGGTGTCGGGTATTAGGCCTTCGCAGATCTTCTCCAGTGTCGGCATCCAGCTCTTGGCCAGGTGACAGTTCTGCAGCACTATCCAGTGGCCGCGCATCACGCCGTCCTTTATCAACCCTTCCGCTATCGGTCCTTGGCCTGCGTGGGATATCACGTGGTCAATTTGCGCGTGAATGTTCATTTGTCACGTGCAAACACTTACCTTGGCCGAGGGATAAGTAGAAGAGACGATTGATACCGTAACCCTGTTCATCGGCGAATACCATCAAGGTCTGTGCCGGATCGGTGCCAGGAGTCAGAATGAATATTAACGGAATACAGCAGTTGGAGTCCGCATACGAGGATGCCAAATCAAAGGGTGGCGCCTCCACGAATTCCGCGCCCAGTTGTTCTGAAATATTTGAGTGGTTTGGAATAGCGAGAACTCGTTCGATTGTGCCGATTGACGTTTCTTCGTGATGTGTCCTTACCTTCCACGAATTCTTGCACGGCAGGTATGATTTTGTCGGGTCGAATACATCGCAATATCAGCATTCGTTCGAGTGAATTTAGTTTATCGTACGGCGCCGGGAAAGACTCCTTCTGCGGCTCCTTCGAGTCGAATAGTTTCCTCCATTCGTCGAGGTTCTTTGAAAATAATTCTCTAATGCTCTGTAAAATTGATAGATGATTAGTAGATATTCTTCTGTGAATATTGAATATATTAAGAAACTTTACCTCGAATCCTGCGATACTGTTCAGTCTGCACAGTTCGTCCCATTGTTTGACGGGCAACCATTCTGTTGGATTGACGTACGGATTCTCTAAACCTACCCCCCCGGTTAACAGGAACAACCACTGGCTCGCAAATTCGGGCGTATCGCTGGTATCGCGTAAATTGATGACGAGAAGCAACGCAAACAACAATTTATCCTTTTCGAACAGCGATCTGCAGATATTGCCGTAAAGAGAATATGTGAAATATTTTGTCAGGTCCTTCAGACGTTGTTCAACGTTCTCGGCTGGTTCCGTATTCGTGATGGCTATATTGTAAAGATTCACGAACCAGACTAACGAGTATTGATACATTGGATCTATATTGGCCAACGACGCTGCAACAAAAATAAGCTGTTTACGTAAACGTAACATTGACTTGTGCATAAATTATTAATGTTTTTATACGTTACTATAAATGTTCACGATACCTATCGTGAAGAAGAGTACAGTCGAATAGACGGCGATGGGTTTGTACTGCAATCTCGCGACGTCGATCGACTTTTCGGTAGCTTCCGTGGCCGCCTGCTTCACTTGAATATCATCGCTCAAATTTTTAGACGATGTTAGAACATCGATAGCCTCCTCATCCTCCAAGATATCACCTTCCGCGGACAGTACTTCCAAGATTTTATCTTCTGTCTCCTTTAGCATTCTATAATATAAAGTGAAAAACGATGTAAGTGAAACTATATAACCAATTGCGCTTGTGAGGAATACCTTTTGTTAGCCGCACTCTGTACGATTAGGACATTTTTTTCCGATTCCAGGTCGGGTCTTTCCCTCGCAACTACGATACCAAGCAACTGATCTTCCAAACCACTCGGTGTTATCATAAAATTCAGCAAAGTCACTCTCACGGCTATCTCTGGCAAATAATGAGGATTCCTCAGCTTTGTCGTGATGTACAGCCTGTCGACATATGATCATTATAATTATATATCCGATATTTTACACTTGAAGTTTATGGGAAGCTAATGGAAAAGTTTTAATTAGAAAACTTACCTAAAATTCGTATTATATTCTACTATCGCGTCGCCCAGTTTTATACATATTGCGCCGGCGTGTTTGAACGTCTGCTTGAGAAGTATCGGTTCAAGAACAGCATCCAATTTCTCCTCCACGTTTTCGAGTAGTGCCGGTTGTCCGAATTGTATAGCGTTCTCTAAGATCCTCATGTAATCATGTTGCGTCAACCGAATAATGCTCAAGTTGTTTTCCTTCTCCATATTTTTTACCCATATATTAGCCTGACTCTGCGGGTCTATCATCAGCGGCCATCTCCTGGCATTCCTAGAGACACAGGATCGCTAGTACGATTGTGATGTTGGAATTTTTGATTAACTTACACGACGATGATGCCGTTGTCAATAGAAAACGCGTCGGCGGGCAGGCCAGCGATGTTCCAGGATCGAATCAGAACTGGATCGCCAAGTATGTCGCGCAGTTGAAAATCTTGACTGCAAATCACTTGCAGTTTCGTGCACAACTCCACCCACTCCTTCACTTGTTGCACGCGAAACGGCATTGTAAATGGGCCCAAGTAAGCCACTATGCCAGAGGCGATTATTATGTCGCCTGTTAGTCGATAATATCTGGATAAAAAGGACAAAAGTATTATTTGATTTAGCTCATTTGTGATTGAAGTTCTACGACAACGAAAGATAATGCTGTAAACGGATCGTACTTTTCGCCCAATTCTTTGGCGGATTGGGACCAACGCATGTACTCTCCGCCCAATCCTCCGATGAGATCCTCAGCCCGCTTCAATTTCATCTCACAATCTGCCACTTGATCTGACATCGCTTGGAAATCCGCTTTCCTTTGACTTAGAGTCTCTTGAAGGTCCAGCAATCTTTTCTAATCGCAAACATCAATAATTCCATTTTAATCTAAGGTTTACATTAATTTGTTCATCTTCATTATTTCGTTATATCGAAATAATTTTTCATATTTGTCAATAGAAATTATTGATCTCAGTTTTTACGAAACTGGGCTTTGCCTTGCACTAGACATTGCATGTTTCACAGCGATTCAGGAAACAATACATACTTCTACTTGGCGCAATTGTTCTCTCTTCAATTCTAACTTCTCCATAGCCACTTGGTAGGTTTGCTCGGCTTCCGCCAATGCTCGTTTCTTAGGAGCGACAATTTTCGCGATTTCGTCGTACTCGGACATTGCGATGACCCAGCGGCACAGTCCCTCGCAAGCTGTCGATACTTTCTTCATCTTTTCCGGATCGAAGTCCGGATTGGTCAAATAATCCTTCCGTATCTTGGTTATTACTTCTTCTGGTATGTTGTCTTTATCGAAATAAAGTAGCGAGTCTAAGAATTTGACGTCGCTGAGAACTCTCAAAGCAACCTTCCAGTAATCTTCAACGTATACACCTTCCTTCTGCACTCTTTCCGGTTTTACTTGCTGCAATAGTAGTTGAGATTAAATTTCAACAGGTGTTAGATTTGTTTCTCGTACACGATGGCATACAATATTTGAAATTTGTACCTTGAGAACGCAGACGCTCTCTATTACAAGCCTCACGGCATACGGTGGATATTTCATCGTTTTTACAACCGCGATATCTGCCAATGTTAATGTATCCAGCGCAGATTGAGCACGATTTAAAATAGGCATGGCTTCGGCCAAATTGGCATCGCATTCGGCTCTTATCGCAGCTGCTTCATTTGCTACTTCCTGCAAAACACATAGATTGTGTTGGGACAAAAATATTGTTCTTTTATTGGAAATAGAGAAAAAGAGGGGAACGCGGTTTTTTTTAATAAATTTTGATATTTCTGTTTCATATGCAATAACGTTTCAATATATATCAATTAGTAACACTAATATAAACATTAGAATTATAGAATTTTACTTGTGCCGCGGTTTCGTCGACTTTGACTACTTTCTCAAATTCCGCCACTTCCTGACTCTCTTTCTCGACATTGGCGAGCATCTTCTGAACGTCCTGCGTGGCCGCGACTAATTTCGGTTGCAATTGTATCAACGTGTCCTGCATCTCCGTCACTTGATGCTGCGTGCTATCTAATTGACCCAGTCCGCCTTCGTATCGAGCTTTGGCATGCAATACATCACTGGAGACAATACATCATATTAAAATAGGCAGCTTTAACATGAAGATTTCAATGTTAAATACTTTCCGAAATAGATCAATCTAGATATTTTAGATCAATCGAATCGCATTTACTTGCGTTTTTTTCCGAGCAACGTCTGGAAAGTGTTGATCATCTCGAGATAAGAAGTAGGCGTCACGTAATTGTGTCGATTCAGGCGAATTAAAAATTCCTCGCTCATTTTCTGAGTGGACATGTGGAAAAACTGACACATGTCGATACAGGCGCTCCTCTCATTGTCAGTGAGTTCGATCGCGGATAAAAATTTCGTCGCAACAGCCAGCAAGGCGTCTCCTGGCCATGGCTTGAGTATGACAAAATCAGTAATGTTACTATATTGCATTCAATCTTCAATCGGAAGTACCGCATAATAAAAGATTGAAACGTTCTCACACTTGAAGCCAATCAATGGTGCAACAGTTGACTAAAGCTGGGAATTTCCTGATGCGATTTCTGAAGGCATCACCGATAGGAGACATGGTGACAACAATGTGCAGCTGATCGCGAATGAACTGCACAAACAGATTGAAAAGTGCCGCCGGACTGCCGTCCGTCTGCAACGATCGTTCCCGTTGTCGGTCGATCTGCTTCATTTTCTCGCATATTTCGATCTTCTCTTCGTTCGTAAATATATTAGGCACCTGAAGCAAGAAGGAAATCACATGAATAATTAAAATAGAGAAAAATGAGAGGAAACTTGTCTTAGGTGACACATTCCAAAAAGCTTTTCTTGAGGAAAATTGTACTGAAAATCTTTATAGTGTATGTAATGTGAACTATAAATTTTTGGTAAAATTTTCCTCGAAAAGGACGCTTTGGAGTGCAATCTTAGTAGACAAAACACAAGAGAGAACATGAGACGAGACAAGATGACACAATTGGACGTGCAGTTTACTAACTTCGCCTGTATTCAGCATATTGCTGATGTCTTCCAAATAGCTCTCCTCTTTAATCTGCGTGTCGCTAAAGAGGAAAGTTGAATGCAGCTCGCTAGCAGTGGCTTTTCTCATGATATTCTTGATGTCCTCGTGCCACTCGTTACTGCCGTACTGTTGAGTAATTTCGATTTGGTGCACATCGTAATCACAAATGTGCGACGCTAATCTGGTCAATGATTGCCTGCCGGATCCACCGACTCCGACGAGGAGAGCGTGACTTCGCGGCTGCTTGATGATACGAGCTATCTTCGACAGATGCTCGATTGCGAACCTTCGTATTATTTTGATTTTAGTACGAGACGAGGCAACATGAGACAACACCAGATTACTTACCGGAACAACACCAGATTCATGGGCTTCTTCGTCATTGAGTTGTACTCGTTAAGATACGTCTCCACGATATCTCGCAATTGCTCGAGGTCCATGACTTCCTGGTACAAGCGGGCGTCACCCTTGGCGTCGGCGAAGTCGCAATATATTAATCGTCGCAGCTCGTTTACGGTAATCTGCAGGAAGTGCTCAAGAATATGTGAATACACAAGCGCAACCGTTTACATCAGCGTGTCAAGAAAGAGCTTACGGTCCTCGCATCTTCCTTCTTAGACAGCAGGTCCTCGAAGAGCTCTTCTATTGAGACTTCCATGCGTTCTTTCAGTGTACCAGCTACTTGATTCACCAGCCACTTTATATCTGTCTCGTCGATCAAACGATCGCCGAATACGCGAAGTATCTCGTGGACCCATAATCGCTTCATATTTGAGAGGGCAGGCATAGCCTCCGGAACGGATAGAAGCACTCCCTGTACGACAATCATTTGCGACAGTTGACGGAGAAGTTTTCGAATAGTAGATGGTGAAAAATATAATGAAACGGAGTAATACAATGGAAGTACCTGGATCACTCTGGAGAAATCTCGCAGATTAAACTTGTAATGACTTTTCGCGGGCGTTGGTAGCAGATTACTCAAGCTCTCCTTGTAAATGTCTAACGTTGCGAGGACAATCTGGTCGATGCACGGATCAAAATCTTTACTGAAACCCCTAAAAACGACACGTAAACATAAAAACACGCTTCTGAATCCTTAAGAGATACCATATAATTTCGAAATTAAAATATTTAGAATAATTTCACCGAATAATTCGAAATTTACGAACCTTGTATCGAGATGCCACAGAACGATTCTGCTGAATATCGTAATCATGACATCGTCCTCGAATTCCGATATTGCCAGAGCGAAGAAGTGCCGTTTGAAACGTGGCGTAACATCCTTGCCACCGGCAATCGGCGGTGCCATGGCACACATCAATTGAATCTCGATTAACTTTATTATTGTTGCTTCTTTTCTATCGTACCTACGAGTAAGAGATTGCTAGCTGTCAGAATCATATTTAAAAAATTATTGAATAATTCCATATATATAAAATGTTCATTCTTCCTAATTTATATAGTCCTATGATCTATATAGTCCTATGATCTATATAGTCACATGGTTCCCATTACAAAATTATATATATATATATATTGTAAAATTCAGAAAGCCCATTTTTAACGTTAACACTAATGGCGAGGAGCGTTTCGAAATGCTTTACCATTGCCAATGATCCAACCATTGCCGTAATAATTCGATCGGCGGCTGCGCTCCGTATGTTTCCTTCATCGGCATCGAAACGTCGTCGACGAAGATGACCCAGCGTTTACCTATGGGTGGTCCAAACACGCCTTTGCGTCTGCGATCTAATTTGCTCATAATAATGTCTTGGGTTTGATTGGCGGTAGTTTGCGCGGAGAAATTGATCAGCAGCGGCTTGTTCACCGCGGCGTTATTCTTCTTCAGCAGAAAATCGATTATGTACACGGATTTTCCAGTACCGGTCGGGCCTACGAAGAGCACCGGCTTCTCGTGCTGGACCAGCATCTGGAAAAGCGTCGTGTACCGTACTGTCTCCACGGTCGGTACAATTATTTGATTCACGGGGATGTCGCGGGGTATCGGCGGTGTGTTCATCAGTTCGTCGGACCATAACTTCCACTTTCCTTTGCCCTGAGAGAAACAGACAACACAGACTTAGTGCGATGTAGACAGAATAAATCGCTTGACATTAGATTCTAAAATAACTTTTTTGTATATTAGAAGAAAATGTGTAAGAGGAATAAATTGTGTGATCGGAAGAGCTAAATGCCGTGAAAGTTGGTCAGCCAAACCTGGCAACTACACAATTTAGTCCTTATACATTTTCTTCTAACATAAAAAATAATAAATATATTTTAGAATCAAACTTTTTAGCTGACTCATTCTTACAAAACACTTTGTTTAGAAAATAACGAGATTAGAACGAGAGTGATTAGAAGAGAGTGACAGGAATTTAAATATTTCTTTCGTAGATAAAACGAATAGGACATCTGCGTTATTTAGATATTAATATTATACAAATTAATTTTGCTGAACATATACTTTTACGTACCTCCTTAAGAAATCTGTAATCAAACACCAATTGATGCTTCGGCATAACGAAGATATATGGCTTCAGAGGCGCTGGTACGGGTTCTTTCATTTGGAATTCGTTCATCAGAGCAATCGGGAACTCTTTTTCCAGGAGACCACGAAACATGATGCTAAATTGTTCTCGGTACTTGGCTTCCAGAGTGCCTCCCATCGCCCAGATGCACGAGAAAAAGAACGAGCCCTGCATACGTATTTGAAGTTAACTCACTCTAATATTTCGTCGATAATTCAACTAGTCAAATCCCGACCTCTATCTGTGCTCGAAGATCGAGCTCGCTTATTTTCTTTGCGATTTCTTCATCATAATAATCGTCCATAAAGCAGTCCATTAGATAAGTGACGGATCGTAGGAGATTCGAATCGGGCATAGGGCACAATTCCTGTGAAGAAATACGAATCTATGATGGTAGTTGGTTCTTAGTATGACAGATCTTTTACCTTTACGTTACACCGACGCAACAGGTGGAAAAGTGGTTTACAAAACCGGAGGAAGAGCGATTCGTACAGGAAAGTTCGCAGCCACTCATCCACTACCTCCGGCAATGTTGCTATCCAGGATTTCAACAGGGGCTCCCATCCCAACGATGTAGGTTCCATATAAATCATCCCTGCTCCCAATAATTCGTTCGAAAGTCTCTCTGACATCAGAGGCTTTGCTCACTTAATATCACGTTAAAAATTCAATTTACCGCAACGTGATACTGTGGCTGGCGAGGCAGCTTCCAGGTCCAATGGTTCGAAGATCAGGTTGGTCGTTGGTGCCAGCTGGATGATTTCACCGCTCATCAGGCAGAGCTTCTTATTGTCGTCGAGGACAGTGTTCATGCTTTCTATCCATATCGCGTCAATTGGACCGTCGAAGATCAGCCACTTTCGGTTCTCGTTTGTAGAAGTTGCGAAAGCTCGATAGCTAACAGCCAGGATACCATCCTGCCATTCATGAGACGCTGGATCGAAATTCCCGTACAACTGTCCTAGCGTTATCGCCTTCGGATTGATGATCGTCATCTCCACTTTATGCTCGTTCATCAAGTTCTATTCGAGATCGATTGTTTTTAATTAATATACTTGCTACATGTGTCCCATTCCTATTATTCTACAGAATGAGTCAATAACCATCATCATCTTGAATATCTTCGAAAAACAAAGGTGGCTCTAACAAGTAAACTTACCCAAAAGTTATACTCCGATTTCTTTCTAATTTGGCACAAATATAGAAGTACAAAAAATATTTAGGTCATATTTTTTTCATTTTGGCTCACTTTGAGTTTCACAGACATATAGTTAAATAATTTTAGCAAAATCGGCATAGCTGAGACACGAACCATTCTAAATTTCTTTAATCGAGATTCCAACTGAAATATTTTAAATCTGTGCTAAATCAGGCAAAAATGGTTCAAATCTCAGCCAAACCGAGAAATTATTTGTATAAATAATTTTTTTTCAACTTTTCACATGTTTTATTTAAACATTTTATTATTTATACAAATAATTTTACACGTTTGACTTCATATTTATAATCAGTAAACCAAAAACGCTTATATCTTGTATTCAATTTTATTTCTCATACATTTTTGTTGCACTTAATGATAGGAATGAGAACATTATGCATTTTTGTTGCACTTGATGGTAGGAGTGAGAACATTAAAAAGCTATAAACTGTCTGTGAAACTCAAAGTGAGCCAATAAAAAAATAAAAAAATATAACCTAAATATTTTTGGTACTTCTACATTTGTGCAAAATTAGAAAGAAATCGGAGTGTACCTTTTGGGTAAATTTACTTGTAAGATCTTCGAGCTTTTTCAAGAAAGAAAGCATAACTATCATAAGAAGCTTCTTTTTTTAAATAGAATAGTTTCGAAAGTATGAAGATTACCTTTGTTTTTCGAACTTGCTTCGAAGATGCAATGCTTCAAGATGGTAGTAGTTATTGACTTATATATTTTTATCTTCAATTATTACACCATTATTATTCTATATTTGGCAGTCTATCTTCTGACAAAAAATTACTCACTTTTTCCTCGCAAATCTCCAATATATCGGCCAACATCTTGTAGGCCGTTGTTTTGCCGCCGAAGGGATGCCCGACAATCATGAATCCATGCCTGACCAACATCATCTCGTAAATCTGTTGGATCTTCTCGAGGAATACGGGGACGCATTGGATGTTCGCAGCAGCGCAGGCTTGGTACGCGCTCGCGTTTAAGTGCTCGTAGTCAGGTTCTGGGAGTACCACGTTCGGAAACAGGTCTGAAGTGATACCCTGAAGTAAAACACTCTTTGGCGATCTTTTCCACACTCACTCGAAAGAGTGAAATTATACTTACGCGAAACAAAGGTACATCTTCGTTGAGAAATTTGGGCAGGTTCACGTCGGTGATGCTGCGCAAAATCAAGATATCCTCGTTTTCTTCCGGATATTTCAGCTTCAGGTTTCCCGCTGCTATCAGGACGGATTTTACCGCTCGCATGCCGTAGTCATAGTGATTCTGGCTGGACAGTTGCTCCGAGCATAACTTGTAAGCCATGACTATCTTCACCGATAAGGGTCTCGCGTTGTAGAATCCGTACGAGTACAGCGTGTTCTCCGCTATCAGGGCGTAATCCGGTACCTGTCGAGTGTATGAATAAGGAGAGACACGAGCGCGGAGAAAATTATGTAGTGTATTCTTGCCGGCTCTCACCATCATCGCTACTGGACGAAACAGAGCTTTTAGATTGTCCGGTAATTCCGATCTGCCAGCGTATCCCGGATTCATCGTGATAAATACCGCACACGTGCGATCCAGATTTAGTTCTGTACCCTCGAAAATCAGGGTTTTCTGCTCCGCGTTTATGGCCCGCTGAATGGTCAAGATTTGTTGCGCCACGACCGACAGGACTTCAAGGTCGATGCGGTTGAATTCATCGAAGCAGGACCACGCGCCTGTGCTCGCTAATCCCTGCAACAGGATTAGCCGTGTATGAACTCAAAGTAACGCAGTTCATGCGATAATAAACCACTATTGATGAATATACATAATACTTTGGCATTCATGTAAATCATAATTGTTTAAAAAATACTCATGAATTTCTAATTATTCACTGGTCTGTATTTATTTCATACAAGACATCGACTCTAACTCAAACAACCAAATAGTAGGCTATGAAAATCTGCAATAAATTTCACTCTCAATCAAAGATTGTAAATGCTAGCTTCAGGTTTACTTATCTTATTAACTTCGTCGATCTACTTCCGCACCGCTAATAAGTTAATTACCGCAACACATACCTTGAAAAATTTTCCTAGAGCGATGTAGTCCAATCCCTCCGAGCAATTGAACACGACGCATTGCTTGGCGACCGCTTTTGCTAGATCCTTAGTAGTTTCCGTTTTACCTGTCCCGGCGGGTCCTTCCGGCGCACCACCCAGGTGTAAGCTGAGAGCACCGAACAGGGTGCGATAGCATCGATCGGTGAGCGGAGTTATCACTAATCGCGACGTATTACCCAAGTACTCGTACGCGTAGCTTAGCGTGGAATTTATCATCATTGTTAGCAGATCGTTGTTCTGCAACAAGGGAAGAGAAAATTTGTTAGCAAAGCGGGAAAATCTACATTGTGGCGGGAATAAAACACGTGATTGTATTTGGATTTATTCACCATCCAGTAATATCTCATTTGACAAAGCCACTTGAAGTCCGATGCTTGAGTCACACCTTGTTCGGACATTTGCGCCAACACGTCGCGGCTGTGAACGTCCAACGTCACTAAAGCTTCTATACATTAAAGAAATAAAAATGATTCCCAGATCATTGCAATCAATCAATGTAGATAGATGTAATCGATTGAATTTTCTGTTGTTCACTCGGCGAAATGCTTACCTAGAGTCGTGCGATTCTGTTTCGATAATCTGCCGCGGACGAGCTTGACGATCTCATTGAGCTCGTGAGTGCACGTTTCTACGTAATCTTTTAAGCTTTCGATGCCCTCTGAGAACTTGTGAGTAATATGTGCCGTCCAGTACATCTTGCTGATGCAGAGAATAGTCTGACCCGGCCAATCCAAGGCCCATTGACTCCTGGATTTAGTCGGGAAAGCGTCTTTTGCGTGTATCACCTGAAGAAGGATGAGAAAAGTCAACGTAGTGATATAACGATCGATGTCAAGATTTATTCTTAGTTTTGTTTTAGTTGTGAAGGGAATGAGAATATCTGTATAACCTGAGCCTTCACACTTTTCTTCATGTCGATCTCAAGCTCGAGGAGCCACTTCTCCACTTGTCCTCGCGCGGCAGTCGTGTCGATCACATCTTCGAGAATAATCTCCTCCCCTTCGGATGATATCATAGCTATGGCTTCCATGTCATCGGTGAAGGTTAATCTCGCGATGCCCTCGAAACACTTTTTAAGATGCGGCTGCACCCTGAGACAAAAATCAAGAAGAATTTGTATCCCGCGCTACGAGATGTTTGATAGCGATGATAGCTTATGATATATAGATCAAAAATACCGCGTCGGGTCCTTTGTCTCGGACAATATCTCCAAGAGTTCGTCATTAGAAAGGAAGAAGAAACGCGGGAAGTAAAGTCTCTTCTTCTCCAAGTATGTTGCGAGCCCCTTCTGCACCAAGTCCAGCAAATTCGTGCATTTCTTCAAACGTTCCAGCATCTTCTCAATCTCGACGACGAACATGACCGCCGGGTTGACTGCAACGATCGCCATGATTTCTCGCCAAATCTATTTCATGTATATAATTCTACCTGTCATAATCAGCGGTGACGCAAAGATTTAGCTTACACGGAGAGAATATATTATATAATTCTTTTTCATATAAATTCTTTTGAATTTTATTATATTTCTAATATAATAAAATTAATGCAGAATAATGCAGGAATAGACCGTCAGGAGATCTATTCTTTCTAAGGAACATAGTAAATTTCGTTAGAATCTTAGAAAATTTCGCTAGAAGCATAGTGACATGGCACATTTCAGCTTTTAAAATATAAGTAGCTTTTACGAATAGAATGAATGTAAATTATTGCAGAATGTCGATCTATTCCTCGATTACAAAACTGTTCAGCAACTTCTATAAAATTCTCTCCGTGTACGTTCGGAACGACGACGAACTTTATCTACGGCGCTGAATCGTCGACTCTCCTCCGGCATCTGTTGTTGGATGTCGGGTGACGAGAAAATCGGCTCAAGATACATCCACGTTCCTTGAACTTTCAGCCAGTAATCCATGATGTCTTGCAGCAAGAGTAGCTTGGTTTCCCATTCTCTGGTGGAACATAATTGACCTTAAAAACTTCCCGTAGTGTTTAAAGAAATATCGAAGACGTTGGTCGGTAAACTTCTTTCTTTGAAGAGTTACTGCGTTATTTGATAAACTCACAAGGTTTCCTTCTCGAACGGCTTGATGTAGAGGGAATTTTTCATAGTCTGCGTTTTCATCAGGTGGTCGTCGAGCAACAGCTGTATCTCATCCACACTGGCGATAACGTACGTGCCGGTGTCGCGGTACGAGTTGACGGTGAATGCGATATCCGTCCAGTCGGAGAACATCTTGTACAACGATTTTTCCAAATTGCCCTCTTTGCTGGCCGCCTCAGATATACTCTCGAATTTCACCACATAATCCCCTAGACCGTAGTCGAGAATCTACAGGCGTACAAGTGCGATTACTACGAGTCACAGATCCGGTGGCGGATCGGTTTCGCGTTACCTTGGCCAACGTCATGTATTGATCGACTATTATGGGAAACCCGACAATTTCCGAGATTTGCTCCCAATGGCGACTCTTCAGGTTAGGATTACCAAGAGTCAATATCACCGGCATGTGCTCTTTGAACTCCTCCATGTTCGTCCTCACGACCTCCGCCAGCTTTCTCACTATAGGCTCCTGGAAAGTCTTCTCTAGCTTGTACACGATGCGATACGCGTTATTGGTTTCCGTGTCGATCACTTCGGGATCGTGCATGCCCACGACTGCTTCCGTCCACGTCTCGTGATTGCTCATGAACTCGCAGGCAGTGTCATAGAGTTTTTTATAGGGTAGCAATTTATCGGCCACCTGTAATCGTAGATACGAGATGAAAAGTTGTATGCACAATTGAGAAAATAGGATTGCTGTCTCTCGTGCACTCTGAGAAAAAAATATCTAAGAAATAAACAATTCGGTATATATTAATAATATTAATGACATATTTACTTAAGTCTAATTTTTTATTTAGATAGATTAAAGTTGCTTTCACAAAAAGATAGATTTAGATAGATTAGTTGCTTTTATAAAAAAGCTAAGATTTTAAGAAAATGTATATTTTCGTAATTGAAAAATATTTTACATTAGTATAAATAAATGTGTGTCATTATTACCTCCCGCCGAATAAAAATTATTTATTTCTTGGATATTTTTTCCTCAGCGTATTTACCTTTTTCCTCACAGGATACTGCGATAACTCCCAGCCGAACAATCTCTCTTCTTCGTTAAATTCGTCGATCCTGTCCATGGCGGCGATCAACTTGTTGTCGAGATTCATTGCCTTCTTCTTGTATCGTCGTATCTCTTCAATGTTGCCCCAATATTGCAACTCGTCGCAGTGCTTTGCATAAATCTCGAGATCCTGTTCGAATTTCTCGATTCTGACTTTGAGTAATGCCTGATACTCCGCTGTTTTACTCTCGACTATCTTCTGGTGCTCCTCAAAGATTCCAGACATTTTAAAGGGCCTGGAACGTCAAAGTCTCGATATGAACATTGGGTTAAGGTATATAAAGATAAGTTGTTTGAACAACTGCTCTATATTTAAATGCGTAAGTATTTTCGACACGATTTGCTTACATTTCACGTGGAATCTACTACAAATTAGACTACTGCACCAAAATCTACTTACCAGTGAAAAGCGAAATTGTTGTTCTTCATCTCGACTGGCGTCAAGTGTACATAGTCCGATAAAAATAGTATGTACTTCATTACCTCCCTCAGCTTACCCTCCAATTCGAAAATAGTTTTGGTCTCAGATTTACGTATAAATTCCTGAAGTTTCATGAGTTCTGATGTGTTGGGCGGTGTACTTAACGCCTGGTCCGCAATATTTTGGTACTCATCTCCTATGCTGATAATTATGTGAAGCCATTATTAAATTTGCTCAAACGTATTAGACAACAAATAATAATTATCTCGTAATAATCAAGATATACATAACCGAGATATATTTGAACGGGACAAGGAGAACTTACGCTCGGACCATTTGCTGATAATCGGCAATCATTCTTAAAACTAATTCGCCTTTGAGGTGAGTGGCCGTAGTAGAAATGTGCTCTATAATATGCTGCCGACGAACTACGAAGAGATCGGTGCAAATCGTTTGGTGAAATTCCATCAGGACATTCTTACTTAATTGGTCATAATAATCGATGAATTCGCGGTACTTCTCGAACGGGTTGGGTGGCTCAGCCTTCAAAAAGTTTAGAACATTATTTGCATCCTCGTTTCCTATCAGACCCAGATATTTATCGAACTCGCGCAGCTGCAATTCCGCATCGGTTCGGTAGCGCTCGATTAAATTTGATATGGTGTTCGTGTGTTGCTCGAGGATGTCCGCGGAAATCGTCGGCTGGACAATCGGAGACAAGCAGAAGTTAAATTATTACTATACAATATAAAAATAATATAAAAAATCTCGCGTACATAGTACGTAAACAAATGTTCCAAAAAGTCTAAATTTTGTGTCGAAAATAACTCATTCATATGTTCATTCGTGCGTTATTTATATTATGTACTAGTCTACATAATGTAAACACACGAATGAACATATGAATGAGTTATTTTCGACACAAAATTTAGAGTGGACTTTTTGGAACATTTGTTTATGTACTGTGTACGCAAGATTTTTTACAGTGCATTCTGATGTAAAATTAGCGGTTAACATTGTGAACGCGACTCGACACACACCTTGAGCAATTCGGCCGAATGAACATCGGGCTGAAACCCAGGAACCAACTCCAGTTTCACCTCCGCGCGTGGCAATGTAGTCACAGAGTCGTAGAGGGAATTCAACAGCATCGAGAGTGTACCCACGAACGCTTGAAATGTCGGTTCAAATGTGACGGACATGCTCTTCACCACAACGTCGATGTTAAAGCCACAGTTTGTGCGCTGATCAAGAATCAGTCACATTTAATACGCGCAACAACGAAATGTCGTTGTTGACACATGCATGTGATCGAGTCCCCGACTATGCAAAACGCCAACTTACACCCAAGTCAGTGAGGTAATCGATGTAGTCCTCCATCGAACGCAAACACAAATCCCGCAATTGATCCTCCATGACGTAAGCGAGGCAATTAAAGAATCTCTTGTATCGGAAATCGGTCGTCGCTGGCAAATTTCTCCTCTTCGAGGCCTAATGCAAATAAAACATGAAGACTTCGATTCGTCGCAATTTTCATGGACACGCAGAGCGTTTCTTACTGCTACTAAAATATCGCAGATCTTCGACAGCCACTGCTGGAGAACTTTGTCGTTCGTGCTTCTGAGCATCCTCGAAAATTTATATTCGAAACTTGGAAGATCGTACGGTTGTCCGTGCGACGCCAGCTCTCGTTTGTCCACTTGCTTGATGTTTCTGTGATTCAAGGAGAAATTCATTCTGTGAATTGTATTCTTTCAATATGTGGTGGCTATGTGTATTCCGATATTATCGATGTATACACTGAGGGAAAAATTGTCTTAAAATCAACAAATATTTCCTTGATGGATGCCATTAACATATTTACTTAAATCTAAATTAACTTTATTTAAACCAAACATTATTTACTTAAATCAGGTAAATAATATTTGATTTAAATAAATAAAATTTAGATTTAAGTAAATATGTTAATGGCACCCATCAAGGAAATATTTGTTGATTTTAAGGTAATTTTTCCCTCAGTGTATATATACGGAGAGAATTTTATAGTAAAAATTACTATAGGATTTTGTAACCGACCAGTAGATCGTCGTAAGCTGCAGTAATTCACTATCCTTTCATTTCATGTGTACTACTTTTAGGAACTGAAATGTGCCATTAAAAACACTTGCTATGTACCCTGAGAAAAAAATTTACTAAATTTCAAAAAACGTTTGTTTGGATACAACTGTGAACACATTAAAATTAAGTGTTTAAATTAAGTAATTATTTTCTAAAATTAAATAAAGAAGTTTTAAATATAAATTTCTTTCTTTGATTTTAGAAAATAATTACTTAATTTAAACAAATCTGTTCATAGTTGTATCCAAACAAACGTTTTTTGAAATTTAGTGAATTTTTTTCTCAGTGCATCCAGCAAAATCTATTTTCAGCGAAATTTACTGTGTTTCTTAGCAAAATAGACTTTACTGACATTCTATTCTTAGACTGCTAAAGACATAGTGAAATTGAGAAAAATTTAAACGAAAAATTTACACTAACCCGTATTCACGATACCAATAATCCAAAATCTTGCGTATGCACGGATGGTACAGGATAATCGATCTTTTCTCCAACTTCGCTTTCATTCTGCGATATTTAACGCTGTGCTCCGGCGAGAATGACTCGGCGGTTCTTCGAGAGAGCATCGGCTGGAACATGTATGACATATAGAAATATCACGAAAGTGACCAAGCATGACTGCAGATTTATCGGAAATCCCGTTGCGCGCAAAACGATGTTTCAATTCTACGTTAGTTAATATAGTTGGCATTAATATCACGTATTATTATGCGCGCAATACTGACCGGGGCGCAAAGTGCATACGCCTCTTCGAAGGGTTCCTGGAGGGTGAAGTCGACGATGGATTTTTTCATGCTCGTTACGTAGTCGCGTTTTATTTCCTGAATCAGTCGAGCGAAGCACTCTTCGTGTCGCTTTTGCCACTCGGGGGACACCGTGGCCGTTATTCTTTTCGACGTATCAGAATCCAAAGTGCCCGCGACAGTATCGTCGACGTCATGAAGAATATAATAATAATATCTCAAGAGATTCTTGTCTTCTTCGGTGAGCCATTTGTCGATCATATCCTCGCTTTCTGGGGCCGTCAGTTTTTCCGCCTCGTCGTCATGCATTTCAGTCTCATCCTTGAGCAGACTTACGTCGTATCTTTCCAATCCTTTGATCTTTCCGATCAGATGCATTCGAAAATTCGCTCTCTGCTGTAGCAGCGATGCATAATAATTCTCTCTCAGGGGTGCGATCCCATCTTTTCTCTTTAGCGCAGCGACGCTCCTTTAAGTTTAATATTCATTTTTTAAATTATAATTTATGTAATATAAACGTCTTTTGAAGTATCAATAGACACAATAAAATTTTGCAGCTGGAGTGAACTGGAGTTTCAGTGAACGACACTTTTCAAATCACTGCTCGCTTACCTCGATGAAACTTCGCATTCTTGCGAAAAGTCGAGAACACTCGATTTATCCGTTACGTAATTTCTTAAGGTTTTCCGATGCTCGCCGTTATCCTTTAAGAACTTGATATTCGAGCAATACGTATCGTACTTCGATTTTATCCAGTCGCAATGTTTCTTGTGAGATTTTCTACGCGGTTGTTCGAATTCATTGCTTCGTTTTATTGGCTTTGCACGTGATTCGGGTTTATCAATACTTTGAACTTTTTCATCACGTTCATCCTGTTCCTTGTCCTCTTTAACGCTGCTCTTCTTGCGTGTGTGTTGCGTATTCATTGCGTAATGGAGTTTTTATATTTACATTATCAGCATTTTTATTTTATAATTTTGAAGCTGTTACACAAACACATGCACTCACACATACGTCATACTCATATTGGATAAGAAACGCGAAAGATGTTAAATTTGATTATTAAACTTTTCGTTAACTTTAAGTTAACTGTCGTTGACTTATTTTTGTTAAGTTTTGTCACAGCAAGACAGAAAGTCACATGGCAACGATACTTGTTCTATATAAAAAAAAAGTTCGTAATTATTATGTCTATCTGCCGATGAGGTTCGGTTCGTCGCACTTTCCATCAAATTACTCAGCATATCGTCACAGGTGATGACGCACGAAGCTTCGTTGAAGGTCCTAAGATTTACGTTGCCATAGCAATGAGCCTAACATTGGAGATATGTTATGTCAATCGTAGATTGTCGCACCGCAACAGCGGGACGATAACGTACGAATTAATTAGAAACTGGTATTCACACATACACATACACATGGGGAAACAAAAATATGTTATCTACACTGATAATCGACAGAGAGGGAGAGAGTTGCTTGAACGAGGATTAAAGGATGCGTGCAAATGAATCACAAAGAGATTATTGTTCCCTTCAACGTAAATATTTATTGTACGTTTGTATATATACGTGACACTGTTTTCAGAAAAGTAATACTTTCACAAGTGATAGAATAATTTTGTCTCAGCACGCTTTTGTTAGATAGTTTGATTAACGGTCGCTGTATTAATCTGCAGATTTCTTTTTCCTTTCTCGCGATGTTACGCGATACTAAAAAGAAATATTATATATATATATATATATATATATATATATATATATATATATATTTACGAAGATGTAACAATGCGATGTGATATATATTTCTTTTATATATTCTTTAGATATTCCAGTAACGCAAAATACAAAGTCTCATCGCGATATTAAATTTTGTTAGAATCTCTCTATTTTTAACGCACATATAGTCATGACAATTTTTACGTCCACATACGTTTTGATTGTCACTCGTTTCTGATATACATACATGTACACACTGTGTTGATCCCACTATACATCTAAATAGGCAACGTTAAGTACCTCCCTCACACACTTGTCTTACTTTTACGCGGATATATCTGTGTGACGATACAACGAGAAACGTTCAGCAGACTATCAATTACCGTTCGTTTTGTCGCTAAATCCGTGTATTGATATGTATATATGTATGTATACGTGTGGTGTAGCGTAGTAGTGCGTATGTGTAAGTCACGTGTGTGGCTATACGTATGTGAGTATATATGTATATGTATGAGAGCAAGACGTGTTTGGACCCCGCAACCTCCTGGCATATCTTCGCGCGCATTATGTGACTGGAGTTCAATTACACACATACAGACGAACAGTTTAAAGTGGTTAGAACGCGTAACGCGGTGGCACGCGAACGACGGCGACGACGACGATTGCACCGCGCATTCGTGAATTCTGCAGCGGAAGAATACGTAGACGGCACACGCTCTGCAATGCGATTCACGGCCGAAATGGGGACCGTTGAATTTATTGATTTTTCCGGTGAAGCTTGTGACGTCCTGCCGGTTTCGACGTCAAAGTATAGTCATACCCCAGCTACATGGTGGTAGTAGCGGTAATAGTAGTAATAGGAGTAGCAACAACAGCAGTAGCACGTTACATGAGACGTTTGTCACGTCTTGTGTAATGTTCGCTTTTGATATCGTACATAGGGATGTGTAGGATACTCCAAGAAAAGGTGCACGCGAAAAGGTGATCTCGATATTTCTTCATTAGATATCTCTCGAAGTTCATCCAGATCACGATCTTCATTTGACGAGGATTCGACTCTGCATGTTAAACGGAGCCTTGCCTTTTCCGGAATAGCCTGTGTCTAACGACAGTTGCGTTCAATTAAATCTAACGACTTACGGCACGTACACAATGCTGATTGATTGATCGATACAGGTACATTCAAAGTGTGAGTACGGCTAACATACAGCTCATTGAAACGTAGTCGGTCACGACACCCGTCCTTATCCGTTATGTACAACGTCATCTGCATTCGGATAATCTATCTGACAGGATTTTCCCGAGACTTTACAGATCCACTGTATGACTTCACTATATCCACACATACATACGGGGGAGAGGGCTTCTATTGAAATAAATATAATAATACTGCTCGTTCTCATGCAGATTCCCGACGACGATGACACGCGTGTTATTGACAGTTCCATATTTTAACGGTATTGCGGTTAACGAGCGATATCGGCGATAACGCTGATATTGCTTATCTCTAACAGGAATCTCCCCTTCAATAAGTTCCGAGCCAAAAGTAATATTGACAAAGTAACGTGAACACAATATGTTCGATTAATTCTCTCATCCTACGGACGTGTACGTGTGCGGATAAAGAATACAGTGTCCGATATAAATGCACGGTCAGTCGGTTATTCTCTTAACTGAAATAACGTTAAATAGAAACGAATTCATCCGAAACCATCTAAATACAGTGCACCCTGATATACACCGCTGTGTGACATGTTCCTAATTACGATCACATGCATGTTATTGCTGCGTTTAGTAATGCCTCTGAGAAATTTATTAGATAAAACTTTTAAATATATATGTATTATCTCTCAAATGATTTTTAAAAATTATGTCATATATTTATATAAAAGATATATATGTATGTATATATATATATATATATCTTGAACACGTTTAACAAATTGTAAATTTCGAAATCACAATATGTAACCCCGGAACATGGATGCGACACAGTGAATCTATTTTCTTGTTACAGTTCCCACCGACAGACACATTACAAGTGTCTGGATTATTCATCCTACAAACCTCGGCCACGTAGTTTGCATAATCACATCTCTTCGTGCATTACTCACTAGTTTCTCGGCACACAAACCCTCAATCTTTACGCGATTTAAAACTACCGTATGCACACGTCGTTACTCTGCCAATCAGCACAGAAAAAATGACAGAACAGCCGAAAGGCGGCGCGTTCGATTGCATACAAAGATGCTGCTCCCTCGGATATCTGCTCGATCCCACAACATCTAAAATCGAGACACAAGACGCCTCTCAGACGTCGAAATATAAGATGTCTTTAAGATGTCTTATGTCCCGATTTTAGATGCTGTGTTGTGTGGGATCAGGGCGAATTTGATATCGCGAATGCACGAGGAACTGTCTGCCATCGCGACATTGCTGACGGGAGAGTGCTCGTCTGGGAGACTCGTAGAATTGGAAGGCATTAACCTAACAGTTAACACGTGACATATTTACCATCATTTTTGTACTTTGCCGGAGTAAAGCGAGAGAAATCGAGATTATTGCAGCACTCGAACGAACTGCGCGTTCGAAACGCACGAGTAGCATCCAATTAATTCGACACCCATTGCTTGCGTTTGCCATTGAACGCTATCCTTCGCCGACGGCTCATTCACACGACATCGCACTAACTACCAGCCGTCAAGACCAGAAAATCCCGACGGTTCTTTCATGGCGGACGTCGGTAACGTCTCCGTGACGGATTGCGAGGGACACGAGACGCGAGGATCAAATTGACAGTGAGAAACTTAATCCTACGTTTGATTTGCATCAATCGCAAGCTCGCACGACGGAACGGAAAATCCGGAAGTCATCGAACGGTTAAGGTCTTGTGAAGCGATACCGGTACGGAGTCCAGGCGAACAGTTCTAGGAAAAGAACATATATCCATTTGTGTAGTGCATCGCCTTTGCTTGCAAAACCTCTACTGATTTGTATGCATGCAAGTACCAGCGCACCAGCGTAACTATCTCGCCGCGTCGCTATTCGGGATGCAAGATTATAGCACGCACTCTGAAAACGCCCAGCTCGCTTGCGAAAACGTTCCGTCTCGAAACGAAATCAAAAGTCACCACTCGCCATTCCGTTACTTCGCAGCCACTACACACACGGCCGTAAATAATAGTCTCTGCCGATGCACAAGCTGCGATTGTATCCTCCTAGCATCTTTCTCTGTTTTTTTTTGCTCCAGCTCACTTTCTGTTTCTTTCTATCAATTTAGATCGAAGGGCGGAAACACTACGGGATGAGTGAGTGATCGGAAGCATGTGTTCGCCACAGTGCTAATCGTGAAATTTCATTTAATAATCGGCTTTTCGCTCAACTCGAAGTTCCAGGAGGAAAAAATCAAGTTAGGTCCAGCTCTATTCGGTGCTTCCGCTCTCCGACTGAAGTAAAAAATCGGCCAAGTGCCACCAAAAATCATATCCCGAGTATCACTTTTCTCAGCATTCAGCCGGTGATCAACTTTCGCTCTCTAAGTTATCCTCAGGCATGCTGCGGGTTCCGATGCAAGCTGCCGTTTCCAGATGCGCTTATTGCTCGATGATGAAACATGCCGGATTGCTACTGATCTGATCTGATTGGTTTGTGATTAATTCGGATGAATATATCTACGTGTAGAACGATTATCTGATGGATTTGCCAATGATAGATTAACGATCTTGCATAGAAGGAAAGAAAGTGCGTGTTATACTATTCCGTCATAAAGTAATCTTCGATGAATGCCGGAGAAAGAGAGAGAAAAATACAGAAAGAGAGAAATGATTTGGTTATTATTTACATCGAGGGATGATCGAATGATTGAATGACTCGTCGAGAAACGATTGGTACCGGACAGTCCGAGAGTTGCTCGTTTTTTCTTTTCTTTTTTCGAACGGGAGGTAACATCCGAGCATATCGTTGCGAAAACGTTTCGATGATCCAACGATCAGCAAAACGATCCCACTGGAGGAGGCACTCTACACAGACACCGGCTAACAAGATAATCTAAATCTCGGGATCAATCGGACAAATTGATCGGTGGTGAAGTCGACTCTCGTTCCCGGTCTGCCTGTAGGTGGTATGGGAGGATGTCCAATTGCAATCTGGTCGATGGTAAAAGCGACATGACGATGAGAGAGCGCAATGCAAAAACTACTCTTCGCTAAGGACTGGCAGTAGCATTAGCGGTCACTACACTGTGTGTGATTCACACTCTACGATTTACCATGGTTGGCGAAGCAAGGGCAGAGTGCGTTCAGAATACGATTGCAGAATCCGCGCGCTCGGTTGTTCCAGCCAGCGATGGTATCGCCACCCTTCAATCTACTGCCTGCACATACACACACAGACGCGCGCGCGTATATAGCCAGCACGTTTATAAATATCAATGGCGCGAGATAATTATAATAATGCGTCGCGTGTTCTACCCTGCCAAGTAGTGGCTCTACGTTACTCGAGCGTTAGAAGCGTAAGTGTGAAACGTCCAACACAGATCGGCTGATTAATTAGCAGCGCTCTCGTGTCTCTCTACTCATTGACTCGAACGCGCGTTTGCCCAAGCCGATCGACACACGCGCACACATCTGTTCGTCTACGCGTCTATCGATCGTCGCGTCTATCATCAGTTTCGTCACTCCACCTTTGCGCCTCTATCTAACACACGATCTAGCCGTCTATGTGAATCTACCAGACTATTTATCACGATCACGCGCGCGCGCGATCTTGTTTATCCTATGCCTACCTCTCGTTTCTTTTCTCGCGATTTTGCGCCGAGCATAATATTTTCCCCTTTATTTATATCCGCCTTCTCTCCCTTCGGTATAGCCGCGACGCGAGAGTCAAACGAGAAATATTTCAACCTTGTGAGTCAGAATATTTGAGTTTCGTGAAAAAAAAAAAAAAAAAACATGAGAAATCGTTCATATTTCTTTTGTTTTTTCTTTCTTGTACCTACCTTCACCTGCGTCAGCTTCCTGAAACACAAAGAGGAAACGTTGTACGTCCGATTCCAGCGACACAGTGAAATTTTAGATCGGCTCTTTTTCGAGAAACTTTCTTGAACTAGTGTGCACCGATGCAGTAAGTTACAGCATATAAGGTCTGTTCTTTTTAGCTGAATTGCCTGAACTGATACAGACTAATGTAATAACCCTAACAGCACAGATGTCCAGGGAACATCCAAAGAACATTCTGAGGAAGTCCTGAGGACATTTCTTCGTTCTCAGGACGTCCTAAGGACGTTCTCAGGAGATCTTGTACTGTCTAGCAAGTTAGAATGAAACAAAATATATTTGTCTCACTCTAATTTATTGCACCAGTTCAGACAGTTCAGCTAAAAAGAACAGACCTATAATTAGCCCTGTTTTTTTCCAAAGAACTTTCCGAACTGGTGCACGCTAGTGCAATAAATTAGAGTGAAACAAAATATCCTTTTTTCACTCTAACTTATTACACCAGTGTACATCAATTCAGGAAGTTCCTCGAAAGAGAACAGACCATTAGTATAGGTGATAGATACAATTAGTCTGCGCTTGTTAACAACGTGTTTGTCTTCGACTCTTACATCGCTTCGAAACTCTCTTCCATCTGAACGAACTTCGCGAATTCATTACCTCCGACTGAACTTTCCTCTTCGAGGCTTCTGTAGCGGCGGTCTCTATCACGTCGGTGATGAATTTCGTAGTCTCCCTCATCAGCTCCTCGTCTTCCTTAAAGGCCTCCTTCCTCTGTTCCAACGTCCCAGTCATCAGATTCTTCTCGTGCTCGTCCATGTCGGCGGAACGGAATGAGATAGACATCCGATCAAGGTTCGGTCAAAGTACCATTAACCACACTGGTTTTCGTGTTTCAGTCCTTCACAAATAAAATTATTCTCGATCAAATACAGAGAACTAATAAACCGCGAACTGAATGGACTTGCGCTCGCGACGTCGCAAATGTCTGATTAACGCCTTGCTGAACAGTCTAAGCCGAGTGATTTATTAAGTAAGGGCTCGATGACCTAGACCTATGATTATATGATGACGAGGACATTCGATAATTTTAGACTCAATTTTCTCTCCATCCCTCTCTTCCTCCTCTCTCTGTGATCACCGACTTGATCTTAATTCACTCGAGATCCCCGCGATCGATTCTTTACGCTTTCGAGTCTTTCAAACGCGTATTACCAGTCAATATTCGACCGGGGTTGGAAAGCAGCGCGATTTCGGGCGGGCGCGAACGTCAGCGCGCAGGAAAAAGCATGCGAGTTATATATTCATTTCTCAACGAATGCGAACTAAACGCGTGCTATGGATTTGTGCTTGCAGAACAAGGCGGATCACCGCTCCGAGTGTGCTCCAGTCTCTTGCCGTTAATACACGCCAGTTGCTTCATACGACAAATCGCTAAATCGATTCGATATTTTTAAAGCAGACGTCTCCGGCGTTTCCTTGATTCACCGTGCATTTAGAGCCTTTTGTCGAGTGGACCTTTTACATTGTCTTACTGCGGGTCTCGCTGGTAAAGGAGAGAATTCGATGAGAAATCCAAACCCCGACAGCGATTCGATCGGAATTCCGCGAACGCAGAAGCGAAACCTCTAGCTGAACCTCCCGTCGCTGAATCCCCCAATAACGCGTGTGACAGACCGCAGTGTAAATACGACGGATATGCCACAGGTGGTGTGTGTTCTACCGCGCACACACTGACACATTGACACACCACGTACGGCAGTACGACGTATACACGCGTGTATCGCCGCTCGTTGAGGATGCGGACGATGTCGTGGTCGCCGGACCGGCCAAGGCCGGCCGCGAAGTCGAGGTCGACTGTTAATCACTGATAAAGGCCCGCATTTGGCGCCGAGCTGCGCCGAAAGGCCTGGCTAGCACCGGTCGTAGCGACAAGTCCTCCGGATCGCGAGCTCGTGCTTGCTTCTATGAGCATATATTCACCTGGCATGCAGCGACGAACAAATGGTTCGGGTCTTCTCTCGATGACTACGTCGTCAAACGGGCGGATGAGAAGCGGAACGACCGGGATCTCGTCATTTTTTTCTTTCAGCTGCTCAGACCACCGTCCGGGCCGCGCTCTACCAGGTAATGATCGACGCGAGTCGCTACCAGCCGAGGCTCTCTCACCCGACTGGATATCACCCCAGCCAGCCGAAACGGAGCATGCGTCGGGGGCATGCAGCTATTAGGTTTTTATATCTTTGCCTATACCTCTTATCTGCGAGAATGTATACACATGCGCGTGCATACGCGCGCACATAGGCACGTATATATTTGGGGATACAACGAGTACATGCAAAGTGAGAGAGTGTTTACCGCCCTTACCTCGCGGATCCGGCGGCCACCCGCGCTATCTCCGCCAATTGACTGGAACGAGGTGAAATTTGAGGAAAGCCTGGTCGTTGCGGCTAGCGACTGTGGCCTGAAAATAGGACGCATATTGAACGGAATAAATTCGTCTCACCCACGCTGACGCAAATTTTGCGAATTCTCCACTCGCTGGAAGCAGAGGGTGGAGTCACGCCACCGTTGAATTTGCCCCTATGTCCCTTCACGGAAATTTCATACGAACGTATATCTGCAACTGACCTTCCGTTCTGTTTCATTTATCATACGTTTATCGTGGTATCATACTGTGCGTGGGAAGCTACAAAGATTGACTCAGTTTCGCTAATTTCTATCTCGCGTGATATTCATTATTCGTGTCGGGTACAATAACGCTTTTCGTCGCAATTAAAAACTTTCTGCGTGACATTCAACATGTTCGAAGTTAATTTCCACTCGCCTGAATTACTAGTCGTTGGAGCGCGTGTATGTATAAGTTTGAAATCGAACACATGGAATCTACAGTCGTGCGTGAAATACTTGTTGATTCCAGAGATTCTATCGAAATAATGACGCGCCTGTCACTCCGTGACACTACCGAAATAATAAATTCGAAGCTGAATAGTACAACGCAAAATTTCTACAATATACCTTGATGAGTTGAGCCGCAGACGAGTTTTTCGCGCATTCTACTCGGTTACGTCATTAGAGACACGTTGCCAGCTGTTTCATAATTGATGTCAACTGGTCGCAATTAGCGACACGCACCAAGCCGAGTGTTAGTTCCTCGTAAGATAAGTAATCGCGTTTCACGCTGATTCTTGCGAGTACTTTCCCCGAGTTGTTCGATCTCTTCGTGATGTCGAAAGGTAAAGGATTGTGTGTTGCGATGCGCTGTGCAAAACGCACTTCGGCTTTGGTACAGCCGGCTTCGGGAAAATACTGCTAAACATAGTACGGGTACGCTTAATGACATGGGATCAATATGATCACAACGCTGAGGATTATTTTCCCCCGATGAAGCTTACCGCTCGATTACAACCAACATGCATTTTTCTTCTTTTGCAGCGGACGTTCTGCGCCACGTTCAACATGCGCGTCACACGTGTTGTTCACCTGCCTCGCTCGCAGCAGGTCTCTCCGCGAGCACCTGCGTATAATATCCATTCAAATGCAACGTTTAACTCGCAGAATTAATGTTACAATTCTAGACAGAATCGTAAATATCGTAACTTGTTCCCGTGAAATCCGTAAGAAGAATCCAGACAACAGTATATATAGATTTATTTATATGTTTTTATGAATTTTACGATTTTGTTTAGAATTGCAGCATAAATACCCAGTGAACAAAAGCTCTCAAATCGACGCATTAGCTATCTTTAAGATATCTTTGAGAGTGCTTTAAGAAATATCTTGAAAATGTTTCTTGAAGAAATATGTTGAAGATGCTTACTGGGTATCTTAATAATAGTTATTTTATTAAGAAAAATTTCCACGACTTGACATATATTATTATCAACTGAATGAATTGAAAAAGTTTTTCTTTCTCGTTATTTATATTGTTAGAAAAAATCAGTTCACATCTTTGAATAAAATTTGTAAATCTCTAATTTTGTATTATATTTGAGAAATATGTACGTGTGAATTATGAGAAGCTTTTAATATAAATTTTTCATCGAGATATATGTATGGAGGCTATCAGGGGAGAAATGTTCTTGGAATGTCCGACTTTGGTTTTAATTAAAGATTCCTCCAGCCGTCGGGACATGCCGGTATCTCCGAGATAGAGGAATATAATTCCAGAAGCTCGTTTCCTTCAGCAGTCTGCAAAGCTAAAAAATAGCCATGTACTTCGATACAATTTAAATAATTCATTTTGCCTCGAAAAATTTAATCCCGAGTGGTTTAGCTGCGCGTTTCTCATTTATTCAGAGCGAAATAAATGCGTAGATGTACCTCGAAATGAGAAAAGAGTAAAAGAACGAAGCGTAGAGAATACAGTTGGAAAACGAGTAGGAATATTAACAATGAAGCAATTACATTATCCGTGTTGTACAATCATCATCCGCGTTTGTCGCTTGTGACAATACGTGAGCTGTCAATGGCGCGTGAATGTCAATGGCGCGCCGCCGACGACATGCGCGAAGTTGATTGACTATCGCAAGCTGCACTTGGTCACGGAAGTAAGAAAATAACTAGAGTGTTTCGGCGAGTTTCGAAGCAAGGCGGGCGAGTCAAGGTCGAGACGAAGGATCTGATTGGCCACGCCATGTTGTATCGAAGCTTTCGATGTATCGGCTTAGTGTTCGGCGATGTTCGATAACAATACGCATTTCCCCCCGCCACGTATACATTCGTTAGACTTGACCCGCGCACAGTTTACACATTCCCCTCAGTTATTTCTTACCTCCGTGCCTTTAGCCAGTTAGGCAGCCGCTACGTGATAAGAAATGTGGCAGTTTTGCTCGAGGAGACCGATTCAAAGATGGCCGCGCCGCGGTCGCTCGATCATCGTGTCGTGCTAATCTCGAGGTATCCTTCGGGATCGCGCGCACAGCCTGTCTGAGCTCCCGTCGCGGTCGACAGTGTTTATTCGGTGCGCGAGTGAACGGGTGATGATCTAACGGGTGTTTCGTTGCGCGATCATGAATTGCCATCAGATACTGAGCGGCGCCTGCAATGCGGGCGATCGTTGTTACGCCGTTGGCTCCGTCGAGGGAATTTCCTTCACGGTGAGTAAATTGCTGCGTGACAATCGATGCGATCCGCACGACGGCACGACGTAACGCCGCGAGGTGCGTCTCGGCCGGTGTCGTGCGGCCGACATTGCGCGGAATTTCGCGATCGCACGTCGAAAAAGTCGATACGCTCGCGTTATGGAAGTCAGCTGATCGGATGACATTTCGATTAGGCGTGAACGTGGAACTCTCTCCACGTTCGCCGAGAGACTGCTCTCGCGATTTTCTCTGCGGCTAACGACGAAACCGATGTGACACTCTTCGCGTTCATACACTACAATTTAAGCCAACAACCTTATCTATTGTAGTTGATTGTCGAGATATCGAAGTACTTGATGTTCTTGATGACTTTTAATCAGTAATAGCTTATAGCTTGATGATTCGTTACATTGAGAAATAGGATTCAAACTTTGACATTTCATACTTTCTAGAGGAAAACATAATAGAAGAAGTTGTTTGAAAGAGTATAGAGAGAGATTTGATAATTAATTATTATTCATTCCATCTCTAGGCATATGCAGCTGGCTGTAACATTGTGATCTTGGCTAACAATTTCGAACGAGTGCAGATCATTCCTGGGGCTGTACACAATTACATCAGAATTAGTTGTCTGGATTGTAGTACAGATACAGGGAAAATAGCTGCAGCATATGAAAATCAAGTCTGCATTTTTGAGCCAACACCACTTATACACAGCACTTGTTCACATGTTTGTATTGATATCTTTCTTGATATCTTTGAAGATATATCTTCTTATGATTTCTTTGGAAAAATTTTCTGAAATCTAAAACTGAAATATGTTGTTTTATAGCAATTAGAGTACAGATGGGTTCAAACAGGAAGTCTACAAACCGAATCGAACATTACTTCTTTATCATGGAACTTAGAAGGAACAAGATTGTTAACAGGTGGCGAGCTGTTACAACTATGGCACCAAAATATTACGCCATTTCAGGAAGAACACAGTAAGTTTCTCATGGAGTATCTACTCTTTATTAAAATACACATATATTTAAAATAATTCTTATGCAATTCTAGTAAATAATCTATATTTTAAAATTAACTAAATTTTGATACCTCAAAATAAAAAATAGATTCCATTAGCATGGTATATACATGTAATAATGGGATAGATATTCATTTCCTAAAAATACTTAATATTCTATCCATTTCAAGATGTTAGAATTATCATATTTTCTGTTACTTGATGCAGTACTGTTACCTACAGCTACAAAACCAAAAACAATACAAACAGAGGAAGTCAGTATGACTGGAAGCAATCATAATGTTACAGCAAACACTTCTCAGGATCGTGAGTTCATTCTTGTTGAGAATGAACGTGTAGCATTGGCATTATTTGCATGTTTAATATTCCACAGCTTTACTGCTGCATAATGTGTTTGGAATACATCATGGAAGATAATTGCTTGCATATTAAACCATTTAAAACAAACGCATATTTTGTTATACAAGAAACATGACCAGAATCCTTTTATTTTTTGGAATATGCATCAGCCATTTTTAGCAATGCTTTATTTGTAACTGTTATTGTTGCAGTAATTTTTATTTTGTTATATGAACAATACCTGCAAGTTGCTAGGATAAGAAGTGATGATTTCAGTATGCTTATTCCATTTTCTTTTAAATTTGTAACTATTGACATTTCTTAATTTATATATTTTGCTATTGCACAATATAAGCACATATCGTTACTCTGGAATGTATTAAAAGAAGTATAATTGTATTTGTTGTATGCAGTATGATAAAATGTATATAAGAGGATAGTAATTACAATTCAAGAGATTATTTCTCATTATCAGGCACTTTTAAAATATGTATTAAGCTTGTCTTCTTTGAATTTTAGATATATGCATTTTCTTGTATACAAAAGTAATCTTACTATCGTTAACATAAATTTACTTTCTGAACAGCTGGTGCAGTAACATTTTCAATCGGAGGAGAAGCTGAAAGTCCTGGACCTGGAGATACTTCCAGTGCAAATGACCTTGGTGGATGGAATTGCGTATGGAAATGTCGTACGGCTACACCAGTCCATCTTATGAGCTTCAGTCCTGACGGCACTCTATTTGCAACTACAGGAGTGAATGACAGATTGGTCAAAATCTGGTTCGAACACAAGCAATGTATATATTTCTTTTAAATGGTAATCTCTTCCTATATTTGTAGGCAATTATTAGTAAAATTTTCATTCGTTGCTTCCAGTGTTTCCAGGAAGAAGCATGGATCATGCAAGTTTTTCTCAGGCAATGGGTAATGATAATTATAGTTTTGTTTACGTAGCACATCCCCGTGCAGTAACACATCTTTCTTGGCGCAAGACAAGTAAATATATGCCAAAGTAAGTAACATATTAATTAATATGTTATAATTGTGGCTTGTACACATTAAACGGTGTAAGATACGAATGATGTTGATTTATAATTATTTACAATTTTTTTGTCGCAATTTAGGGGCTCTGTATCCAATATGTTAGTTACCTCATGTCGCGATAATATTTGTCGTGTTTGGGCTGAGACAATACCGCCTGAAATTGAAGGTCTGGCCAACATGAGCCAATTCGAAGGCTCTGATAGGCACGGTCATCATGGCAAACATCGTCATCATAATATGCACAAACACCGGTTTATGCAACGCCTCAAACACATGAAGTATGAAGATTACCTTTCGCATAGTATTTTTATTTGCCACTTTAATGTACAAAGATGTTTTTATCTTTACGATGCTTTTTATCTTTACGATGTTCACCGAGTATCGTTGAATACGATGATAATACATAAAAAATCTATTTGTATAGGACATGCTTTCATATTCGGCGGCACGCTAAACAACAACATCAAGCCGGTCATACAGCACCGACTTTACCAACGCTTCCATCTACGTATTCTGTGCACGATTTTCACAATAATTACCAAACTTCCGGTCATTATCCAGGGATGCATTTCCACTTAGCAGCCAGTATCAATGCAGAAACTGGTATAGTATTAGTACACATTATATAGCATGTAAAATAGTCTAAAAATTTGATTTCCATTTTGTTTTTGTTAGTGTTACGTTTGTTTAAATATTTTTGAAATATTGGTAATCGGCAGTGGATAGTATACGTTCATGTTATAGATATACCGCTAGTACCAAGCCTAATTACCGGAGACCCGGAAAGAGAGCCGAATTTTATCTTACACTGGCTAAATAACAAAGAAATGCACTTCACCATGCAAGCCGAAAACATATTGCAGGAGTTGACGCGTAAAGTAGTAGAGAAAGAGGAAGGTTTGCAACATCAAGATACTGAACATGCAGAACATGATTCTGAGGATGAATGTACACCAAGTATGAGTTTTACTTATTTTATCGCTCATGTATTGTGAAGGAAATTTAAATACTGACGACAATGTAATTCTTGCAGAAAAAGGTGTTCGGCTGCAAACAGCTCAGAAACCAGTGGTCGGTGGCCGCTCAATGAGCCAAGAGGATCATAGTAGTGATGAACATCATACTGCACATACTACCTCGTCTCATCATAGTTTAGTCCACAGTGTACATTCTCACCCGAGCCTCAGGTAAATTTTCTCGATCTCTTTTTTTGTATTAATCATACCAATTCCGCTATAAAATTCAGTTTCATAAAAAAAATAGAAGCAGAAATGGAAGATAAAATCTATGAAGTTAATATGCACATCGTAATTTTTTGTTACAGCAATACAACATCGATTAACTCCATAGCGACAGACGCAACGTCTACGATGAATCATGCGCCGGATTCATTGGATACCAAGATCGAAACGTTGTTGCGTGATTGGCATCATAATCCAGATTTACTTTTTTCAATACATCCAATAGACGGAAGCTTTTTGATCTGGCATATTGAATGGTTAGACGAATATCATCCTGGATCTTTCCGACAAGCGCAAATCTCCTTCTCCACTCGTATTCCAAACGCATTTCCACTTGGCGATGCGTCAACGATGAGCCACAATGTATCGATGTATTCTCACAATACCGGCGGACCTTTACTGAATATTCGAGAGGTCGCAAAATCCTCAACGAAAACCGACCCCAGCGAGATCGCGACACCTTTACCTAGTCTTATAGAACAAGACGAGGAACAATCTACTTTGACATCAAGAGCGGGTCAAGAATTGTTGAAGAATATTGAAAGCACGAACGACCAAAGTCAAACGGCTGCGAAAGCGGAGACTAGCGCACTGGAGAGTAATAAAAGTGGACAAGATACGGATCTGTTGACTCACCCTAGTCCGATCGTCTCTATGGTGTCGAAACACTCGAACGGCACATTAAATCTATGGCAGTTGACGTTTGCGGATAAAACGAAATTTTCGCAGGTATTAAGTATAGGTCACGCATGCAGGGCTTCTGGACATCGCTTCCGTGTGAATGATATTACTTGTCATCCCGTTTTACCTCTGCTTGTAACAACCTCTCATCATAACATACCCGAATATTCTGGCGCTCAGTCGACAGAATCGAGCGAAAATATCAGTATCAAGCAGGATACTTGCAAGGGCAAGGATATTATGTCTCCTACCGGTTTCTGCAGCGAACTGATATTGTGGCGAGTAGACGCTGTAGGGCCTCTGTCGAAGAGCGGCGGAGTTTCCGAATTGGCGCGTATCAATTCACCGGAGATATCGGCATTCAGTAACGTAGCCTGGATCCCAACATTGTTGCCGAGCACGACATTGGGTAACTTGTCCAACTCTCCCAGCGCCTGTTTTGTAGCGAGCGACGGTGAATGCTTGAGAGTGTATCAAGCTGTCATCGATGCTAGAACACTACTGGCAGAAGTATCGATCAGCGAGAGAAGAAGCAGGATGATGGACTCCATGGCCAGTCTGTCGACGGACATGTCGTCCGACGACGGTGTCAGGCATTCCATTCACGACAGGATAAAGATAGTATCTCAGCAATCGACAGCAAGACCAGGATGTGTTATACAATTGGACGCTATCTCCGATGCTACCCACGATTGGCAGAATACCCAATTCCTGCATGTGTTTCAAGAACAATTGATTACAGGCGAGAGAAGCGACGAGAAGCTGCCTGGCTTCGACACATCGTCCAACGACTTGGGATTCATGGAGTCTACGTTGGATGCTATGGTGGATCTGCAGCAATCGGCGATCTTCGAAGAACCATTTTACATAGTGGTTCTGGAGCGTACACAGCAGGGTACTACTGTACATATGTGGCGATTAGTGATAGCTTCGCAGCCCGAAACTAGCGGGCTGTCTGGTTCGATGATGTACGTCCCGGATTCCCATTTAGTGCAGGACGAGGATGAAGAAGGAACACCGGGTAGATTGAGTCATGCAGAAGGCAGAAGATCACGCAGACCTAGTCAGACACGAAGTCGACGTGAAAGTCAAGCCGATCTGGATTCAACGTTCCTACATCGTCGTCATCAGAACAGCCACGTTCTAATTACGACCACGAAAGTATGCACTCAGGAATTGCCGTTGCCTGACGGAGTGGAGGTGATTCACGCCGCCCCGGCTGCTGGACACTTGAGCAGCTCTTCGATATATCCCGCTTGCTTTGCGCCGTACATTATCGTGACGGCTTGTAGTGACAGCACCGTGCGCTTCTGGAAGTGCAAAGTGACGAAGAAACCGGATGACAAGCTGGACTATGAGTGGTGCGAATGGGAGATGACCAGAAAGGACCAGGAATCAGCTATCGATATCACTGGTCAACCGTTGAATATCAGCGCGGCTTACAGCGGGCGCATCGCCTGTGCCTACAAGTACGGAAAGTCGTTTACGCGTCCTACGAAAAACGATCCGGATTCACGTTATGTGAATCTCTGTGTCGCCATATACGAGTGCGAGAGCACAGGTGGCAGCGAGTGGATTCTGGAGGACACGATTCATCTGAAGAATATTCACCTGCCGCGAATACCGGTGGATCAACATCTAGATCTTAGCTATTTGTACGACAGTAGATTCTTGCAGAAGAAACAGAGACTAACTCAGGTATTGCAGACTCTCAGTCACGAGGATATCAGATCTTCGAGGAACGGGGAGAACGGCGATTCTACGAAAGCTGGTCTGTTAGCTGTCCCATCATTCAGTACTCTACAGTCCTTGCGGAAGTCGATTATCGAGAACGGCAATACGTGCCCACTCACACAGAAGCATCTGGTGCAGCTTGACTGGGTGTCCAAGGAGGACGGCTCGCACATTTTAACTGTGGGTGTCGGCTCGAAAATCATGTTGTTTACCCCAGTGTGCTCCGATCTAGCGCAAGCTAACATGAAAGCGATGAAGGAATCTCAAAGTAATAACAGACCGATACTCAGAAAGACCTCATCGCTGGCGCAGCCGCAATTCGTCGACGAGATCCGATGGATGAAGCTTCGTAAAATCGAGTTGACGACGGCAGACGGCCTCCCACCTCTGCCTATGCAGATCTCTTGGGTACGGGACGGCATCCTCGTTGTTGGCATGGACTCCGAGATGCACGTGTATTCTCAGTGGAAACCGAATCCGAAGAACGATTGTTTTCACTCCAATCTGCAGCATCAAGAATCCGATGAGTTCCAGGCGAGTCGTAACTTGCGCGATGAGGATCTGCGAACGTTGGCGCATGAAACGTCCCAGAGGAGACTAGCGAACGTGTCTTCCATGCCGCATCTGTCGCGCGTCAGCAGTATCAATCTGACGATGTTGGACGCGAAGAAGAAACGCGGTATGCAGAACGAAAACCTGAGTTTCGATTACATGCCGGATTACGGATTGTTCGAAGCGTCGAGGATAGCTTGTCCCGTTTTGCCTCAGTACCATCCGAAGCAGCTGATGGAGCTGTTGAACTCGGGAAAGATCAGATGGGTGAAGGCCATATTGGCGCATCTAGTCAGATGTATCGGTAGTTCTTGTTCTCTACGAGTCGACGACGAGAACCTGGTGAAGCAGCGCAGCGGATGGTCACGATCGAGAACGATGTCGGTGAGTTATGCCGGCACGACCTCGCCATTGGAACCTAGAGGTTCGACGACACAGATACCGGAGGAGTTGACTTTGGACTACGCCGAGATTACTTCTATCTCTCCGCTTCCGTTGTGGACTTTATTGATGGCAGACAAGGAGACCAACCTGTTGCATCAGCAAAACGAAGACAAGCACGACTATAACGAATTATTCGACAGTAATTTGGACGAGGGAGAATCGTTGGATGATATGTTGGAAGAAGATTACGAGTGCTCGCGGCAGAAAGACAGGCGATCGTCTGTGCCGGAGAGACAAGGTATATCTCATTTCGGGCCTCGACAGGGCAGGCTGTTGTCGCGCCTCTTGACGCATACCCATCTCCCGGGTTTGTCCAGTCTCGACCAGATGCATCTTCTCGCCTTGGCTGACACTGTCTCGACTTGTAACGTTGATTTTGCGGAGAGATTCGCGATCGACGCAGCGAAGAACGCGATCGCCAAGGAAAATCTGACCGGTATTCCGGATGGCGAAACTGTGTCGACCGATTCATTAGACGATTGCGGTCTCAGGTTCCTCTTAGCGATGAAGCATTATAATTATCTTATACGTTGTCTGCCGTTGGTGCAGAGAGCGCAATTCCAGAAACAGGGAATCGCGTCGAATAATCTCGTATGGGCATTCCACTCTGAGTCCGAGGAAGAGCTGCTGGGATTAATCCCCTCTTATGCCAAAGGTCAACCAAAGTGGTCCGTATTGAAGGAACTTGGGGTAGGCTGGTGGATCAGGAGCAACACTGTGCTCAAAAGGTGCGTGGAGAAAATAGCGAAAGCATCTTTCCAGCACAAGGAGGATCCTTTAGACGCAGCTGTCTACTACTTGGCAATGAAGAAGAAGAACTTGGTATGGGGCCTGTTCAGAAATAAGCGTGACGAACGAATGACTTCCTTCTTCTCGAATAACTTCATCGAAGACCGATGGAGAAAGGCAGCCCTGAAGAACGCTTTTGCTTTGCTTGGGAAGCAACGTTTTGAACACGCAGCAGCGTTCTTCTTGTTAGCCGGTGCGTTGAAAGACGCCATTGATGTATGTTTGAATAAGCTGAACGATATTCAGCTGGCGATGGTGATAGCGAGACTTTACGAGAATGATACGTCATCTCCTAACATGAGAAGATTGCTATACGAGGAGATCTTAGGCTGCGATAAGGAAGGACAAAATCAAGATATGAGTAGAGTACATCCCGATCCTTTCCTGCGAAGTATGGCTTTGTGGATCTTAAAGGATTATTCCGGTTCTCTCAATACTCTGCTTCTGACCAACGTCGGCAATATGCATCCACAGTACAACGATGAGTCTGATAAACCAGAGGGAACAACTGGTAAAAAATATTAATTTATTGTCTTTTTTTCATATATGAGATAATTCTTAAAATAACACCTTGACTTTTGTTTCAGCGAATCCAAACGTCTTTAACTTCTATGTTTATCTTCGCACACACCCGTTATTGATTAGGCAGTATATTGCGTCCACCGCGCAAGATAAGAAGAAAGGACACTCGGTAGTAATTTCAGGATTCAGTTACGGCACGGAGACGAAGAGTCAACCGGACAAACAGCTGATGTTGGAAGACACTATTACGCCATTAGAAAGGCAACTATATTTCACGACTGCACACGCACATTTTAAAGCTGGCTGCCCAGCCCTCGCGCTCGAAGTTTTGTCTAAATTACCTAATAAAGTTATGGATACAAATGGTGAAGATTCTCCTAGTGAGTAACGCACATATATTACTTATACGTTGACTGATCGCCTGTAAATTTTATATTAAAATTGTCGCGATTCTCTTTTGTCCGTAGGTTTATTAAATAGTCCGAACAAGTCCAAAACTCAAGATGTTCAAATAGATACGGGTATTATTAATTGGGGAAATGAATCGAATATAATAACGAATAATAAAGGTACGTGTAAGAGTTATTGCGTTTTTTAAACAAGATTTATTAAGAATTTATTCAAATTAAGAATAAAATATTGACTCCAGACTCAGCTGCCTCTGTAGATTGGGATACGCCGTCATTCGATTGGTCTCAGAGTAGATGTATGGAGGAAGACAAATTAGAATTAAATTGGGACGATGATCCTGTAGACGGCGATGATGCCGATAGTCCTCCCATGAGTATGAAACTTGACAAGAAAGTAGAAGATGCGCACAAACCAGACAATGATAACAGTAAGGAAGACAATGATAACAGTAAGGACTTCTTTTTGTTATAGACTATGTTAATTTTTGTGCAATAGTACTGTTATAAAAGTAATTTCAGAAGATGTCGTAAAGTCAGCTGGACAATTAGATATTATGGCGCAGCAATTAAAATTTGTGGCTTGCCTAAAAATCTTGATGGAAGAATTGTCTACGTTGGCGACGGGTTTCGAAGTAGACGGAGGTCAACTGCGATACCAATTGTACGTGTGGCTGGAGCGAGAAGTGGACGCGCTGAGGCAGCTTTGCAGTTATAGTACTAATGCAGATGGAGATATGAACAACGTTGCCGATTGTAAATTCTTTCGCATTTTTATTATATAACTGTCGTATTAGGTAGTGACAGTTTTGAAAAATACAATACGAGAATCGTGGTATTAATAGAGACCTAACTTTCAGATGAAGGTGGTATGGTTGACGATGTACCGCCATACAAGCCCGGCGAGCAACCGACATTACATCAAATATTAGTGGCAGAAAAGTTGGACTTTGAAGCTAAAGTACAGAGAGCTGCTAAAAGAAAGAAATGGTTGAAAGGTGAATTGGACGAATATTGTCGAATCACTTATTTTTTATCTTGTTTAGAACTTAGAACTTTATTTTACGAAGCTCTTCTAAATTCGATACGGTCTAATTAAGAAAAAAAAAGAAAACAATAAGAGAGAGAGAGAGAGAGAGAGAGAGAGAAAGAGTGAATAAGCATCTTCGAATTTTCAGCTAATGAAACATTGTTGAGAACATTATTGTCATACTGTTCGTTGCACGGTGCATCGGGTGGCGGCCTAGCGTCAGTAAGAATGGAATTGGTACTCTTACTACAGGAATTGCAACAAGAAAAGACTCAACAACAATTGCTCAGTCCCTTGCCCTTCCCTACCACGCTACCTCTATTAAGCGCCAGCGTTGCCTGCAACAAAACCGTCGTGGCCGATCCAGTTCGACATCTGCAGGTTCGTTCAAACCTACCTACATTAATTTTTTTTTTTTCTATTAGCTTCCATCCATTTGCATCTAATGTCTACATTATTATTTGCAGTCTCTCGCACATGATATGCTGCAGACACTGGTGGAGCTACGCAATCCGCCGATGCCTAATAGAAATACGCATTATTGCGAAGTATTTATTATGAGAGATTTAGCGGTGGCACTTAGCGCCTGTATTTATCAGTCCCTTTGTGACTCGGATACGTTCGTTATGAAGCATCATCAACCAGATAGGTAATTTACACTATCATTTATTTTGACGAATCGCTTAACTACTACATAACGTTACTCTTCACATATAAATTAGTATAAATTATTTAATCGTATGTATTACTGTCTTTCAGTTTCCCAGTAGTCGCTGAAGTGGAAACGTTCTCAGGTGGCCACTTGGTAGCCTCAAACAGAAATCGTCGACGATACTCGACAGATGACGGAGTCTGTATAACTACTTCGCCTCCCAAGTGGCCGGGCGTGACTAATTTACGCGCCTTGCTAGCTAGAGAAAAAGATGAGGACACTCCGAAGTTGAACATTTTACTCTGCGAAGCTTTCGTGGCGACATACATGAGTCTCTTTATCTATGCTCTGTCGAGTTGCGACAGTCACATCTTGTATAGATTAGTCGGACAATACTTCGATAACAACACATGGTCTTGTCTGTTTGGCGGTGGAGTTAAGAAGCTGTTGCGCGTAGCAAGCACTAGCAGCCAGGTACGATCGGTATAATTCTTTTTGTGTGTTAATTCTCATTGTACGTTTTACGTATATTATCTCGATTTTTGCGTTTCTTTACAGAGCGGCAATGCGGGCGGCGTCGAACGAACTGACAGTGTAGCGAGTGAAATCCAAAGTACTGCTAGTGGCATGTGGAGCACTATGACGTCGTTGACGAAACAACGCGTCAAACTGAACATGAAACTGTTGGGGCAATTTACAGGTCAACAACCAAACATGAAGGAAGACAAACCTACGTACAGAGAACAATTTGTATCGCCTCAAATGAGCATGATTTCCTATTTTCTCATGAAGGTAAGATATTAAGAAATTTGCATATCATATATTATATATAGTTTGATAACGGAAAGTTGTATTTTCCATTTTTTTTCAGCCACGCATAGAAGACGAATACGCAGATGAAATTGATTATGATTCTTCTGACTCTGCGGTGTCGGATTTGGATACTACAGATGAAGAGGAGGACGTATTCGACACGAATTCGAAACCAAAGAACAAACCAAAGGATAATACGGAACATAGTAACTCTAATTCGTACAGTTGGAACATAATGAGATTAGCAATAGTTAAAATATTGCAAGAGCAATTGCAAGACTTTCTGACGGTCGCCGGCATTGAAATGCAAGGTATGAATTGAAGTACTTTTTACAGCAATACTTGAAACATATATTAATGTGGTGATGACACACCGACAAACTAATACATTCCTTATTCTAGAATTACCTGTAAGTAGTCCACTAATCCACGGTACACTGGGCATTGTTGCACAGTGGCAAGATTCTTTGCGCGAAGAACTAGAAATCAAAGGTCCACCGCCAGCTAATTATATTCCTGGCTGCGCACCGGATCCCTCTCCTACGCCAGGGAAACCAGCAATTCACAAATATCGATCTTTGTTAGAAAAAGGGAATACACCATTTAAGTGAGTACATGATATCATCCTAAGTTTAAAGTTAATATTCGATATGACGGATATCAGAGAGGAATTATTCTTATGGTTTTAGTACACGACTAGCATCCGCAGCGCCTACCAATCGTCTTTGGTGTTACTTGGTTAGGCAGGAATTGGTTCAAGATATCTTTATTCGCGCGGTATTTGGAAAACGAAGATCCTTGTCATCGATACTTGAAAGTGCTCAGACAGTCGTGGATAGCGTACACCGCGGAACTGGAGAAGATAAGGGTAGTGACAGCGGTACTACAAGTTTGCCGGAACCAGTCAGGATTATTCATAAAGAACAAGATAGCATCAGTGCCTTCTGTCTTAATCAGGTTTCTGACAAGATTATTTTTTTAGCTGTGATATTTTTATTTATTTTCTTGATGAAATAGTATTGCATTCTTTTTTATTGAATATTGCGTAAAAGATTGTGCGTTTTCTCAATTTTTAAACAGATTTTTCGTAACATGTACATGTATTAAAAAATATTTTGATTCTCTAATCTTATACAATCTATGATCGTATGTAGGTAAACCCAGGTTTAATGGCCCTTGCTACACCTCGGGAAGTGCAAGAGATGAACATTTCCTTGCTCTTAGAACTTCCATCATGGTTAGAAGACGAATGTGAATTCGATATTATTAACTTGAATAAGCAACCTGATCCAGAACCTGTACAGCCAACCAGTTTCTTAGTTATACAGGTAATATATCTGACAATATTTCTACGTTTTTAATATAAATTATAGTGTTATATTTTTTATATATATATTATTTGCAGACCGCAGCAGATCGTCCTTTGTTGGCACAGAGTCCTCAACCAAACAGTCCTCAAACTCAATCAGGTATAGCCAGTCAGAGTGGACGTGGCGCGAGTGTGGTGAGTTTCTAATTATATTATAATTTATATCATTATAATATATAAAAGTCGTACATTACTTTCATCTATTAAGATTTCGCTTACTTTTTTAATAGACAAATATAAGAGCTTATAGTAAATAAACAGATATATTACGGACTAAAAGACAAATCTTTTTCTAAAAATTAATAAAATGTTTCAGTAACAAGTTTTTATGCAAACTTCACATAATTTTAATTACTATAAGAAAAATTAATGACTGTATTAAAGTAAAAAAACATTTTATATAGTCCTGTAAATATGATTCAGATTTATTTGATTCAGAAAGGAATTTAATTCACTTCATTTCTCAATTTTTTATCTACATATCAGCACTACACTTTTACCGTTTGACATATCACTTTTGAATATCACAGAAGCAGAATTCATCCTCAGGCTAGATAGGATAAACTGCATTTCCCTGTGTGTTGTGTTAAATTAATTTATATATTTATTTTTTATTAATTATGGTAGAGAACATATTCTTTTATTTTTTGTGTAATTGGAAATCTCACTATGTATTTTTTTGTTATAAGTGTGCGTGCGTGAGTGTGAAAAACGTGCAGTTAATTATTATGACACAAGAGAGATTGCATTCAGTGAAATTAATTGATTTGCACACAACGAGCTTATCATGATCAAGAAGGTATCTGCAATATTTCCAAAATTAATATTCAAGTTCTATAAGTAGCTCACAAGTACCTGGCAACAAGAGTTCCCTAGCAACACTGGAGATTACAAGGAGTTTTTAACAAGCTTTTTTAAATAGCAAAAATATGTATGCCGATTTAGTTAGGAAGTGTGCTGTCTACCCAGATAATTCCAAGAATCATCATATGTGTATTAAGTCCTTGCAATGCATACTATATTGTATATTTGTTTGTATAACATCACTTCATCTAAACAATATGTCTTTTGTAATATTCTTCTTTCATCTCTAATGCAAAAATAATAATATATAGTGGATTATATTAGGCGATACACTTTTGCCTTCAGAGTTCGAATAATGCAGGTATAGAAGCAGTATCTTGCACCAAAGAAAGAGAGAATTAGAACTATAAATAAATCATTCATTGCATGATATATATTGAGACCAAAGTATGCACTGTGTCTCACATATCAGGGCACGGTTGAGTTCAAGGCTTGTTTGTTTTGTATAATAAATGCTGGAAACAAATTCATTGTACTTATGCTTTATAAAAACTAAAATATTGCACATGATTGCTTATCTTTCGACTTAAGGAAGTTAACAGTAACACTAATCAATCAATAATTCCTCAATAATTAGGATAACTTAGTGTTACGCGTTACTCTATCAAACTATACAAAGACTTTATATTCCGAAACAAGCCTTGTGGAGCTGTGAATGTGGTGTATTGGGTTAGGGTAGCACAAGTGGTGACGGAGACAATGTTGCTTGTTCAATGCTTGCCTAACATCTAACTCGGTCTGCGTCACTGAACTGGCGGCTCATTCGCTCGCTCAGATGAAGGGGATGCCTGCTTTTCCTGGCTCCCACGACCTGCGTTTCTGTCAATTTGTTGCCGATAGGAGCAAACACTTGTTACAACCGGTGAGATTTACATCCAACAGACCCTAGTCTATCCTAGTGCAAATATCATGTTTTAACATTTTGGGTAACAAGCAGATGTCTGATTTGTAATATGCCAAAGACTTGTGAAAAAGGAAAAGAAGAAACAGAAATTTGTTATTCGATATCATCGTAGAGAATCTTGATACTGTTCTGGAAATAAGAATCGCTATAAAATGGTTCTTCATATATATTTTTTTTTAATGATCTTCGCGTATGTTGCAAATCAGATGTACCTTTGAAAATTTTCAAAGTATAGAAGACCTTACAACTCACAACCGTAAGGCGTGTTCTTAGAAACATTTAGCCATTATCATTTTGTCCAAGAACTCATAGCGACTATGCACAGTGCATTGGTTTGTATTTTTCGTTGCTTACATTATATAACACATAATAACAGTTATGTGATATTAAGATTTTATAAAGATATTAGTGTGTCCTCACTTATATTGGCAAATATGGTGTTTCACCTGCTCCTAGATTTTCATAGATATTATAGTTCATGGGCGCAAAGCTTATTGTTCCTATCATGAGTATTATGTTGAATGTATTTAAATGAATTGAATTAGAATTTGGATACTTAATGCATGTGTTATTACCATCCAAATTGCTCGATCAATTATACATATATATAATTTTATGCAGACAATGTGTCCAATTTTAAGTAATGTCGTGCTCATTATTTCTCTCAACACTAAGATCACGAGACTTGGATATATGTATAGAGAAGTTCATTAATTCGTTTCGTTATACAATACAAACCCACATTTATGTACATGTCCACTGTCAGCTCAACGTCTACAAAACGTTAGCTATGAAGATAAACGTTAGAGTAGCCAATTCCGGAAGCTAGTGGGCCGAAAAGCAGTTTCAGCCGAGTATTAATCGGAAACTTGCTGCAACATTTAACGCATGCTACATGTTTATTGTGCAACTCCATTAAAACTTAATTTGCGTTATAACACAACACCCTGAGTGCTATATCTTGCCGAGTGTCATGAAGTTGTGTTTGATTCTGCTGGGATACATATATGCATCCCATTATTATTATTATATATATATATATATATATATATATATATATATATATATATAAATGTACATATTTCTTCTTCAAATTCCTCAAATTCTTTTGCATACAATTTAATTGACTGCGTTTTATTTTAACAGATTCTGAAGCACAAAATTGATGGAATCAGGAGGATCTCTTCTCATCCACTTTTACCATTATGTAAATATATTTCCTATTCTGTACACGAGGTATAAATTCATCAAGGGTACTTTGTCTTTTCATGGTTGTGCTGGAATTGCAAAGACTTGTAACAATATATTCGTTCTTTTCTCTGTCAGATTTAACCGGATCGCAAGACGGCTCTGTGTCGTTGTGGGAATGGGGTCATCAGACAGCGATTGCTACTCCGAGAGCACCAGGCACCTTTGCTAAAGTGACTCGCGTACGTTTCTCTCAGCATGGCAACAAGTTCGGCGTAGCAGATTCCGATGGCCATCTAAGTTTGTTTCAAGTGGCGTGCCGCGAGGGGACGGCTCGACCGTTCTTCGTAAGGAATTCTCACTTTTCTCTATCCTAAAAGCTTCAATCGGAATAATTATTCTTTTATTCACAATACGACATCGGATTCGTTTCAGAATTACCAATGCCACAGTAAAGTGACCGCAGACTTCGTCTTCCTTGGCGCGTGCAGTCTCGTGGCTACTGCGGGTCATGGCTCGGAGGGACGGAATGTAGCATTATGGGATACATTACTTCCGCAGAACAAGTCTCTCGTACAAGGTATAAAGAAGTTTCATGCATTACATGCATCAAATGCTTTCTATCACTGACATTCAATAGAAAATTTTTCGACATACTCTCCGTAAAATATACACTGTGATCGCGTTTTGTCAGGTTTTATGTGTCACGAACAAGGGGCCAGTTCGTTGATCCTGGCGCCGCAGCATCAATTGTTGATCAGTGGCGGCAAAAAAGGCGATATTACTATATTTGATGTGCGGCAACGACAACAGAGGCACAGATTCCAAGCGCATGAGTCGGCTATAAAATGTCTAGCGCTCGATCCGCACGAAGAATTTTTTGCTAGCGGAGCAGGTGATGGCGACATTAAGGTGAATAATTATATTGTCTCCTAGTAGCGATCCAAATGTACTACGTTCGTAAACAAATCTAATTCAATATTTTATTTAGATATGGGCCTTGACCGTCCATTCCCTGCTCTACTCATTTCCTGCTGAACACCCACGGTCTAGTTTCTTCAAGAATATAGGGCAGGTATGGTAATTTTGCAGTTACTATCGATATGTTGAAGAAAGTTTAAAAATAAATAATTGAAATATAATATATACTTACATATATAATTTACATATATAATTTGTTGTTAGGGTGTTACTCAGTTACATGTGGATTCTGCGGGACGATTATTTTCGTGTGGAGCAGATGGTTCTATGAAAGTCCGTCAACTGCCAGAACGCGATTGTGTAGTACAAGCGCTTTATTAGGATTACGAACAAAAATGATGATGATGAAAGAGATATGAATACCGTGTAAGTATATTACACAAGAGAGAGCTGATATTTATTGATTATTTATATATCTATATATACACATACACACACGGAAGATGAATCGTTAAAGAAGTCTACGCATCCATTAATCGCTGTTGTACGATATACCAACTACGCTCACATACAGATATGCAAACGGTACGATATCCCTTTGCATGGCTAGTGTGTTGTGACAAGCTAATCGGGTGTTATTTATAAATCTATACATATATAAATATATAAATATATATATATATATATATATATATATATATATATATATATATATATATATATATATAT